ACATAACGAAGCAACAAACTAACCTTATTAGTTTGTAATGCATGAGACAAATGTTCTGCTCCATTGTCTCCAATATTATTTGATCCAATGTCCAATATAGTGAGTGTCTATAAAAAGAAGAATAAAGATAAATACAAGATAGAATTAAGTGAAAATAGAATAAAAATGACCATGTTAGTTTCTAATACAGAAGCTAAATATTCAGCTCCTTTATCTTTAATTCGATTGTCCCATAGATTGAGTATCATAAGAGTCTAAGTCAAAAAATAAAGAACGATATGAGATGTATAGGAAGTTGGTTATCAGTACTGAATTCGTTTGTAACATATTAGCTAGATGTTTTGTTCCCATCATTCCGACTTGATTGCGTTCGAGATCGAGTACAGTAAGTGTCTTTAAAAAAAAAGATTAAAAATAGACTATCAAAACTATCAAGAAAAAAGAGTTACTGTATTCTTTTGTAATGCATCAGCTAGATACCGTGATCCAGTGGCTGTGATTTGATTCTTCGAAAGATTAAGAGTAGTTAGTGTCTGAATGAATGAATTATTTATACGAGAGATCAAAAGAAATATTAAAAAGAAATACTTTGTTTGTTCTTAAAGCATTTGCCAAATGTTCTACTCCATCATCATCAATATAATTGAATCGTAGATTGAGTACAGTAAGTGTCTAAGTGAAGAAACGAAAATAGATTTTAACGAGAAATGAAGACGAAAACTGACCATATTCGTTTGTAATGCATACGCCAGATATGCAACGCCTTTACTTCTCGTTTCATTGTCTCTTAAACTAAGTGTAACCAGTGTCTACATGAAAAACTACAAATAGATATCATTGATACGTAGAAAATGAATGAGAATTACTGAATTGTTTTCAAGTACATCAGCCAGATGTCTTACTCCCGATGCTTCGATTTGATTACTACTAAGATCGAGTGTAGTCAGTGTCTGCGCATCAAAAATTATAAAGACGAGATATCAAATAAATGAGAAGAAGAGAAAGTTACTTGCGTTTTTCGTAATACATTACATAAATATTGTATCCCTTCATCTCCAATATGATTAACCTGCAGATCGAGAGTTGTCAATGTCTATGGGAATGTAAAGACTAATACGTGTGAAATTAATAGAAAATAAAACTCACTGTATTTTTTTCTAATGCATTTGCTAGATATTGTATACCTTTTAGTCCGATCTGATTTCCGCCAATACTAAGCTTAATGAGTGTCTATAAAGAGAAAATTAACATGGAAAGAAGAAAAGTTCTGTGAGAAAGAAATCACATTGTTGTTTTGTAATGCATCAGCCAGATGTTGTATCCCTTCATGTCCAATACGATGTCCACCGATATTTAATGTAGTGAGAGTGAGAGTCTTCAGAAAAAAATGAAGATAGGATATGAATGCAATGAGAAAATAATAAGAATCACCGTATTGTTTCGTAGTACATCCGCTAGATATTGTGCTCCTTCTTGTCGCATTCGATTTTTGTCCAGATTTAGTGTACCAAGTGTCTACGTATAAAAGTGAAAACAGATAGAGGGTAAGATAACAAACAATGAGAACCACCATATTGTTTCGTAGTGCATTAGCCACATGTTGTATTTCTTCCTGTCTGATTTGATTTCGGTTTAGATCCACTGCAGCAAGTGTCTGTATCAAAAGTGAAGATGAATAAAACACCAATCAAAACAAACTGAACATTACTGTATTGTGTTTTAATGCACATGCTAAATATGGAACATAGGAAGCATCCATGGTATTGTTTTCAAGATTGAGTTCGACGAGCACCTATTTAAACAAGTCAACATACATATGATACAGGCGAAGAAAGCATTTCTATATTCAAGCATCATTCAGTATGTCGAATTGAAGAGTTCTAGTGAAAATGAAGTAACTAGAGGTTAGTCTTGATATATATATACAAATGAAAATTACTGCATGTTCTGATGATTGTTAATTATTACCGGAGTAGCTTTACGTCCTACTGACAATTGATAATATATTTCTTCTCATTGCTGATCGACCTATAAGAATAGTTCCATCATGCTCATGTCAGACACTGTTAGTTGAAAGATAGATTGTAAATTATAAACTCTTATCAAAATACTCTATTTTTTATGAAGAGCGGTTTATATAAACAATTTGAAACAATACAAGCAAGCCTAACATATCAAAAAATACTTGCGAGACCCTTCTTTTTTCGAAGCTTCTCAATTTAATAAAACTAGAAAAATCTTTCTTGAGATATCTTGTTGAAAACAACCTAGCTAGGAATGGTCGATTTTTATTACCAGAGAGCATTTCATACATACTTCTTCTTGATTGATTTGATTTTTTTCATTTGATTGACACTTAGTAAAATAACAAATATCATCAATTGATAATGCTTGACATCTAATTAAGATTTGAAAACTATTGATATAGACTGGTATTGTATAGAGCCTTATATGAGTTAATGATGAACCTATGACACAATCACATGTGACATACCAACGTTTGTCCTCTAGCCAAAAAGGTGTTCGATATTGATTTATAATCGAATGAACGCTAGGATATTTAGAATATATGCTAAGACTAAATCGAAAGCAAAAATGAAAGTTATTCAAGACTCGTAATTTTTTTTGAATGAGCTCTTCCCATAGAAAACTATTATATAAAAAGTCACAACTCGATGTATAGCCGACTAGTTTCAAATAAATAAGTGATGGCGTCAGTGAAAGAAGTATATCAAGTTCTTCGAACGATAATCGACAGTTATTCATTGTTAAAGAAGTCAGTTGTGAATAGTATGCACCGGTAGAAGATGTCAAACTCATTGTATTAATGTCGTATAGTGTGCAATATTCCATTATGAATGTTCGTAAAAAAGGATAGTGTTCAAGAATAAAACAATATTCTTGAATAGTACAGTGTCTGATTGTCAGATGTTGTAATGTACAATGAGTTAGCCACGATAGAATCTTTGTCATACGATCGACACTTATTAAATGTAGCTTTCGAAGAGTGGATTGTGTGATAGTTGCTGAAAGAAGAAGAGGAAGTCTGTCAATTGTATATACTTCACGCAATTGAATTGAAAGTGACACCAAAGATTGAATATTGATATGTTGCAATAGTCGATATAATTCAACATCATTAATGTCAAGAAGAGTCAACGAACGAAGCCGAGTAAATTGTTGAACACTAAAGATCGATAGAAGTAAATCGATATTATCAAATTGTTTGTCGTTCCAAACAGAGAAAGTCAACGAAGTAATGTTTTCACTGCGAATACGATTAAGTATGAGTTCACAATGAAGATTTGTGATAGATGTGAAATTGAGTTCAAATCGATCATAGGTATTAACAATAGCATAGAGTTGACTGGAAGCACATCGAAGTGAATGTAAAGTAGTCGGTATATCAAGGTGATCGAAAATGCGATGAAGAATTTCAACGGGAAGATCAAGAAGAAACACGTTCGTCATTAATCTATTTTTTGTTGCAATACAAATTGTCTGATACACACAAGAGGAGGAATGATTTTGAAGAGTCACTCAGTGGTTATTATTTAAGAGAGAACAATTGATGAACGGTGATCTAAAGTTGTTAATTCGTTTATTAGAAATTCTACAGCGATTGGAACTAGGAGTGTACAGCTCACCCTCATGAGTCGCTCATATAAGCGTGAACGGTTCGTCTGTGCTTCGAATATGCGACTCACCTAAAAAACTCGATTCGTTTTCGCTTCTGCTCATTAGGATTACACAATTCAATCCCGTGAGCGCTCATCAGCTTGAGCTATACGCTCTCACTATTGATCAACCAGATTCGAAGAAGCTATTTCTCAGCTATTGTTCAGGCTGTATAAAAGAGCACCACAGATAACCTCCCGATGGACTCGAACAAGGCTATGTTTTGTCCTTATAATAGAGGAAAAATCCTCCTAAAATCTGATTGGTCGATAGAAAAAAGTGATCAACCAATCAGATTTCAGCAAGGTTTTTTTTCTCTATTGTAAGGACAAAATATAGCCTTGTTCGGGTCGATCAGGGGGTTATCCAGAACCCTCTTTCGTATGACCCGAACAACAGTATGATTTGTTCTTAAAATAGCTGAAAGACAGCTTCCTCAAAGTCTGATTGATCAATAGTGGGAAGTACAGCTCAGGTCGATGAACGCTCATACGGTTGAGCTGTATAATTCTAATGAACAGAAGGGAAAGCAAATTGAGTCTTATAGGTGAGTCGCATATTCGAAGTACAGACGAACCGCTCACGCTCATATGAGTGTGATCTGTACACCTCTAACTAGAACAGTAATTTGAAGTAATGCTTGCTGTTTTCAACTATACTAGCATAATAACAGTTTTTTGCGTTGAAGTATAAGCTCCTTCGATATAGAGTTTAGATTCAAAGATCCTTGACTATCTATAAGTTTGTCTTAGGCAACTTACGATTCAGGCACAAAAAATGTTTTTTTTTCTTTTTATAAAATTCTAAGTACGTCATTCTTTCCGAAAAAAGAAATGTTTATAAATAATCAGAAGTGTGCAAATACGTACTATATCATCGATCTATGTTATACATGTGATTCCTATTTCTACACGAGTAGTTGAACTTTATAAATTGCATCAATTAAGTTAAGCTAAATGTTGTCTTATACGAGAAAAAATCGTGAGAATATGCAATAATAGTAATATTCAATTGTCTACTACTGAACAGAGTGATCAGATCCATATGCAATTTGGAGATATGATTTTAAACAATGTTCGATATGTAAAAATGAAAATTTTGTTCATTCGTTTTAATCTTGTGGGTGTTGATGCAATACAGATGATCAGTATGTTATTTTCAAAAACTAAAAATACTAAGAAGAAACTCATTCATTACTGTCTCAATCGCAACACTAAAGATGGCACATATGATTGAGAATGCATTTCAAACAATAAGAAATTTTCCTAGTCAACATACTTGCAATTATAATGTATAATTTCGTTACGGTGAAGTATTAAATAGTCCCAACAATCTATCTATATCAAATTCATGGTCGAACAAAAGAATAATCATAAATGCATGTTTTCTTAATATTAACTGAATATACGCTGGAAAATACAATAGAACTTATCTAAAGTGAACATTTCGTGATTGAGATAAATCTATATGGAATCATTTCATAAAAATAGTGTTTACAATATTTATCTTCCAAGATATAATTGGACTATTTAACGCCATACATAATTATCAACCTATTTGGCACTATATATTTTTTTCCTTACTGACGACATATTTTTTTCTAGTAGTGTCCAAAAAATAAGCTTTCAGGTTTTGATAAAATAATGTAAAAGTTGTTTTGTTTTGATATGTTTTTTTGGATGAATATAGATCGATCAATTTTGATTGGAATACTAAAGTATGGGACATTTAAGATTTCTCATTCAGAAACATTTTCTCGTCAATTGATAAAAATAGATAATGATAATAAAAGCGCTAACGTTCACATAAGAGAAATCTGTCAATGGACAGACAGACATGAAAATAGGTAGTCTAACTAACGAGTTTTTTGTTAATGAGGAATGTTCGAAGAGTAAAGTTCTATTGTATTGATTTTTTTTCAAGTTTCTCTGATCGCAACATCTCTCTTCATAGTGTTACTATGTCAAATGTAGTGCCGAAGAAGAGCGAAGAAATTGAAATAGAAAAATGTTAGGTCAAATTACGATTGAAATGTTTATTGATCACTATTATCTAGATATATTTATTATCGAAACTTGAATATTTCTCTCCAATTATTTCTTATCACTGACTGTAAAATTAATCAAATATCTTCATGAAAAAGAGTACCAGAATAAATATCGTGAGATGTGAATTCTATAGTTATCTTTGAGATAATGATTCATATTCCATCGATCGTTTAGACTCATCAAATAGACTATCTGTCAATATTGAATTTCATAGTTTTTCGGATGTGCTTCTATGAACAAATGTTATGAAATATATATGTTTCTTACTTTGTGAAAGATGAATGACAATGATTCAGTTCACACACTATCGACGATACTTGAAAAAATTGTTTGTGCATTACATTTTTCTTTTGCTTTCTCTCTCGATCTTTCTTGCCTAAGAATACTTTTTTTTCTTGTTTTTCTTCGACATGCTACTGTGACAGAAAGAAAAACAGTGATTTATTCAACAATGTGAGTAACTAGATCAACACAGAAATGTTTTTGCTTTTATGCAAGATAATTATTTTTTTCAAAGAGTTGTTTGATCTATTCAACGTCACATGAATAAGAAGTCTTGCTATTTTTGTGACATATACATAAGTGATCAACCTCAATTATCGATTATATTCAATGTAAAAAAAAGCCTCCAATATCACCTTAGAAAATGTGATCTATATCGGACTCTGCTCTTTCATCGACATTTTTCGCAGTTAGTTACTATGGCAACATCTTTGAATGAATAGAGAAAATGACAAGCTATACTATTTTTCATCAAACTTGTTATGCAGTAGCTTTTCAAAAGACAATTTTCATATTTATGTTTCTAAACAATTGTTTTCTTATTCTTTTCTATTCATTTTTCGTGTTTTTTCTTACCATATTTTGCTTATCATCTAATTATTCCTCAATGTCTCGATTAAGAAACCGTAAATAATGTTATATGGTAGGACTTTATTTTAAAGAAAACTAAACGAAAAACTGTTTGGTGAACAGAATTATAGCTTTTTTTTATCAGCATTTCAGTATAATGGAATAGCCATCTAAGAATATGTATATCAAACAGATAGCTGAATCTTATTTGCAAAAATGAATGGTGAATAATATTTGTTTCTCGAAAATTTGTATTTCTTACGTAAGTTATCCAAAACGTCATGTCACATATTCTTGTTCTATGATGATAGGCCAATTGAATATACGTATATATTTGCAACATCACACTTTAACTTAATAAATGGCGAAACGTCGCATTCAACCTTTTTCATCGGAACACTACATATGTCGAAGATGCCTTTAACGACCTTTCATATACTGAAGTTTTATTACAAACATCTTTGAAAATCAAACAGAGAATGACAACATTGAATTGCTGCGTAACGGTGAGATCATCTAAGAATCCACCCCATAAGATACATCTTCATTTTGCACACGCCACCTTCATCCTCATGCAGTGCTATACTTGATTGAATTGTATGTGGACAAATTGAGATTTGTTGGAAGTGAAATGGAAATTACGCTTTTGTTAAACATGCGACAACATCTGCATGATGACTAATTATCGTAGCGACTGTTTGTTGCTGCAACCAATTGACGTTACCCAATAGTAGCTTTCCTATAAAATTATTATAAAAAAAAAAGCGAAACAAATTGAGTTCATCATTCTATTATTTCAAAGAATTTCAAAATAGATTTTGAAACTCATTGTAGCTTAAAGTCATTTGTTTTTTTTTTATTGAAGAAAGATTAACTATTTAATTTTAATACGCAGAAATGAACTATTTGTTTATCATGTTAAGCTAATAAGTTGTCAAAATTTGATAAGAACAAATATATTTATAAAGATTTTATGTTTTTTGACAAAAAAGTAAATGATGATAAATGTGTTTTTATAGAGGAAAAAAAATGGAATTTGTATGGTTGAATAAAACAGCCGAGCAGAATCTCGCAACAATACTTTTTTCCCAGTATATTTTTTTTTCTCATTCTCTCATGATTACCTGGGAGTACGTTATTGACAGAAGAAGAAGTTAAGTTCTATAGCATATATAAAAAAAAAACTAGACCCTATCGTATACAAAATGAACGATTTTATGACAACAATTCGAGCAGAATTAAGAAAACTTGAAACTATTCTTAACGATGATATTGAAGAATTTAATAGAAAATTAAATTCAACTCGAGAAGATATTTGTAATTATATCCAACGACAAATTCAACATTTACTCAATGTTGAAAAAGAATATAAGCAACAATTTGATTATCTCGATGAAGAAAACCAAAAAACATATCAAGATAATCGACAACAATTTGATAAATTATGTTTATCAATAAATCAAAACGATAATAATCCAATAATAATACAAAAATTACTGAAAGATTTCCAGCAAACATTTCCCATGCGACCAACAATGTTAAAATCTATTCCTGAATATTCTTTTAAAGAGATTCATGTAAATAATTTTATATTAAAACAAAAAACAAATAAAAATAAATTTGAAGATAACATCTTAACATTACCAACAAATGATCATAATTCATTTTCTCCTATGACAAATGATCAATTATTAATTGAGAATAACGAACAAGATAAATATTTTAATGTATATACAAATAATCAATCAGAACTTTTATGGTATATTATGTATTAAAATAAATCTATCAAACTTTTTTTTTGTTCTTAACAGTTCATCTAATCGATCGCCACCTGTTAAAGAACATTCATTTATTCCTGTTAAAACATCAACAGCTGATGATACACAAATCTCTTCAATAGTCTCAGGTTCAATGGGTTTTTCATACCATAAACAACTTGCTTCACAGTTAGTTTTTTGTTTTTGTTTTTGAAAAATTCCATCTAAGTTGAATAATTTAGAAATAATGAAATTGGCATTGAACCACAATCTCGTGTAGTTTCAACTTGTTCAACAATAAATGAATCTAATAATATGATGATTGATCTTCAATTTAAAATTCCTCATCAACATAATCGAAAACCACATTTAATATCTTATCATGAAAATGAAAACTGCCTACTTATTTATTTGTTATTTTCTCATCAATTAGAATATTTATGTCTTAATCCACGTCAAATATCGTTTATTAATTTACCATCAAACGAGCATTTATTAAATCTAGGTTATTCGACAAATTATAATTTATTTTACTTTAGTAATCGACAAACGAAAAATTTTGTATTATTTCGCTTAAATCAACAACAAATTGAATTTGAACAAGAAATTAATTTAATCAGAAATGATGATGATAATCTTATAAGTGTACATATGTATGAAAATTTTGTATTCTTTATATATATATCCTTATCAATAGTTATGCTTGGAAAATATGATATGGAAAAATCATCTTTTATGTCTCCATTTAGTTTTGAAGATAGACTTTATGATGATGTAGAACAATCACAATATGATATAATTGATTTTGCAATTAATAATTTCTACATAAGTTTTTTAGTTCATTTAAAAAATAAAAAAAAATTTATGATTGTTACACATGATTCTGCAAGTATGGATCGACTTTATTCATTTGATCTAATCGATGCAAGTCAACCTTTATCAATTATTTCAATTGATAAGTAAATATAGAAAATTTTCTTTGATTTTATTTTTAAATTTTGCTTGTATTTATTAATAGAAAACTGAAATCAACAGCGACAACTACGTGTAATAACCAGATTGAATTATTGTTATTTGTCAATGACCCAAAAAGCCATTTAATACATTGTTGTACTCATCAACAATACTTAATACCAATTCAAGTGAATGCTTTTGGACTTTGTCCTTTAAATGATGGAAATTTAGCTCTAGTTGGAAGTAGAGATATTCGAGGATTAAAAATTCAAGATTATCTTCAAGAAAATAATGTTCACTTTGATTAAAAGAAAATGTGATTATTGTTATTTTTTGTATAAAATAAATATTGAAAAAAAATCTAAAGAATCTTTTAGGCCATCAATTGTATTGGATTAGAGATAATTATTAATCATAGACTGGAATTTCAAAGCAGTTCAAAAATTGTTGTAATATCGATTCTCATTCAAGAATAATAAATCACATATAAAATAAAACATTAATTTTCAAGATAAACTTTTCAGAATTTGCTAAAAAAGAATGCCCACACTCACACTCCCAAAACCTCGTCCTAGTCGAACATCTGAATCGATGATTCAAGTTGGATATTCTTTAGAAAGGCACATTCAAAATTGTACAACGAACTGCATCGAAAACCTTCGTTGTTTAACAATTCAAAAAACCCATAATACACCGATAAGTGATAGTAGATTTGCCAGTTTCATCTTCGCATGAATTTATGGATTGCAGAACTCCCGCAAAGACGGAGATTCGTACTGATGATCAAGCATTCGAAACAACTGGCCTCGGCTAGATGTGTTATCGATTGGGTGCAATTTAGAGCAACAAGACTGTCATTTGCAGTAGTACAGGTATTAGTCTTCTCTTCAATCACATCTACATTCCTACACATATTCAAATTCACACGCACCATTTACCAGCATTTTTTTTGCATGCTTAACCTTTTGACGCTGAACTTTCCTCGTGCTCGTCGTCCACCAATTCTTTTAACTCTACTCATCCAACCATAGTCTCGAATACAATAACGAAGAGTCGACACCCAAGCGATAATCGACTTGATCATCGATACTGCTCCTATTATTGACAATTGCTGTGCAATAAAGTGATTGACTGAGGAATAGAGGAAAAAACACAATTGCATCTGTATGTTGAAACAACGAGCTCAGAATTACGGACACTAGATCATTCGCAAGGGGGGGAAAAGCAGATTTCGTACTTTCAGGAATCTCATTGGATTTTTCGGATCCCCGGGATTCCCATCAGATGCTCGGAATGCACAGCATTCTCATTCAATTCACTAGATGCTCGCTGCACTTTTAGCATGATAAACTGTCTTATTATACTTCAATACCATCATCATAGTCTTAGAAACTTAAATTAACTGAATTTTCACCATGGCAGAAAGTTAGAAATGCAAAATTAAAAAACATCTACAGTGAATACACTAGACAGTAAAAGTTAGATTTTTAAAAACTGGAAATGAAATTAATCTCGTTCAGATATTTTGTGATCCTTCTGTAAACGAATGAATCGACAAATAATTAACAAGGATTCCAAAGGACATGAGTCCCTTTTTGCTTTTCATTTTGCACGATTCTTTGTCAACCTTTTTTCATTGATTTTTATCAGCAAAAGATGCGCTGTCAAAGTCTCTAGAAAATGGTATATGAGCTGCTGAGACATAGTATGAGAATTTTGCTTTAGATAATAAAAAGTAAGGACTTGTAAAACATCGTACGCTCTAAGTACGATTCTGACGATCATTCACCACAATATTACGGGATCTAAAAGGAGGCTTCGAGTGGCGTACTGTGCAACTTTAGTGCAAATGATCAATGGAACTGTTGCTATCAGCTTATCCAAACCTCATGGGAGTACGCGTACTGTACGAACAAAAACAGCGATGCAAAAGGTCAAACATCAATTGAATCGGAAGACGAAAGTTTCATAAAGAATTTTAGCAAAAAGACCTGAAAATGAACAAAACAACCGTACATCGGATACTTGTTGATGATCTTCATTATCGATTGTACAAGATTATTTGAGAAACAGCATTGACAGATAAAGAAAAACAAAATCGAAAAAAATTTATTCGTTGGATCAAAAACAATCTCAACAAAAACGATATTAACAAATCGCTGTTTTTTGGATGAGAAGCTATTCGATATCGACGGCGTCTGCAATTCATAAAGTGATCGGATTTGTGCAGCTAATCGTGATAATGCTGATGCTCGTGGTAGTGTTAAAAAGAAAATAAAGTCTCCAACCAAAGTTATGATCTGGTTAGCAACATGCTCAGCAAGATTGAATCTACTGGTGACATTGAACAATAATTCAGCCAATCATGAAATTTATATCAGAGACGTTTTACCAGTTGCGTTGAAACTTGCCAACGAAACGTTCAGTGATTATTGAGCTAATCAAGAAGATAGAGCTACAGCTCATAATCACAAATCGACGCAAGATTAGTGTGAAAAACATTTCCTATCCTTTATGCTGAAAAACTGATGGTCAGCAAATAATACCAATCTCAATCCGTTGGACTATTGTATTTAAATGAATTAGTGCAAACAATAGATTGGGATCGGATGAAAACGAAACTAATGTTGATTGAGGAGCTTAAACGTCTGGTAATGAAAGTCAAATTAGAAATAGTTTTAGAAAGTTGTAACGATTTTTCGAAAAGATTGTACTGATTCTTACAAAATGATAGAAGCTACTTTTGATGAATGAAATATACTGTTTTGTATAGATTTTGATGTCGGTTGCTTTGATGGAAAACTAGGAAACAAAAAGATCGAATGTGAATAAGAGAAATTAAGAAATAAAAGTTGGCTCATTTTGTCTGGACCACTCGATACTTGAGAAACTAGGGGATCACTAAAAGCTGGTTAAACTAGGACTTTTACGTATATTAAACGTGAATACATTATTTCATACTTACTAAAAATGCGTAATTTGTTATTTATACGTATGTCGTCGTATCGTTCGACTTGGCAGATCATCAGATAGTATGTTTGTGTTGGTGATTTCGTTAATATATTGTTTAAAACGATGACGTAATCAAATCAAAATCATGTGTTAAAAGGATAAGATAATAATATGCTGATACTAATATCTAATCGGTGCTTAATTTTATTCCGATCTTTCTCAAACTCTGATCATCGTACCTTATGTAGATAAAGACTGTTCCAGACCACTTTATTTTATCATTAACGGTTCTTTATTTTAATAAGCACACTACTTGTGTTTTTTCTGGAAGAGATGTAAACTTTGTGCGGACTATTCGATGAAGTTTTCGATCTTAAGGAGAAATCTCTAGTTCCCGTTAAGACCCTTCAATTCATAATCAACTTCGCTATTATAAATTACGAAGACGGTGAAAACATTTGAAAGAGTAATAGCGTCGTAGTTGAACAAGTTAAAATACTTCTTTTTGCTAAGGTTACATGCAAAGAACCAAATCAAAAGATGTACACTGTATAATTGTATTAACTAGAAGCCTTCAGTATTCTACATGTTTTAGGCTATGATCTTTGTCGTTTTTTGTAAGACTTCTCAGTTTTATCTTAATTACCTCGGACGGATACCCAAGTAAATTATTAAGCGCACAGTAAGTATACCCATTGTTTAATTTTCTCTATGTATAGTAGATAACGTATCCATGTCCTTATTTAGGATGGATTGCATAGGTTCTTCTCATGATTCAGCACGTTTTCTTCAACAAACTCAGTTTAGTATCACTGAGAGAATGAGAGTAGATGATGTTTTTATAAGACAAAGTCGTATATTTTCTTAATACTCCCAGGATTTCAACCAGATTTCTGGGATTTTGCTCAGATTCTCGGGATCCCCATGATATTTCTAGATCCTCGTGGGATTCCTGGAGTTCTCATAGGATTCTCTGGATTTCCATGGGATTCCTAGGGATTTGGAACCTTGGGGATCCCCCTTTTCCCCCTCGATGTATTCAATTGAAAATCAAGTTAGTATGAACTGACAATGGAGGTGTTTGTATTGTCAATTAATGAGATTAGATATATTCCGCTCAGATTCAATGCCTCACCGCCAAACTAAAAGATTCAAAATATGAGCTGTTGATGACGTGCACGTATCGAAATATTCGAATTTTTAGATATTTACAATGTATGTAAGGTACTCACAATGCACAACTTCAGTAGAACATCTTTTTTTTTTCGTGATGATTGAATAGACCTTTTCGATGTGCATAAGAAACTGTATGTCTCAAACTTGAAAAAGCAACTTTTATGAAAACAAAAGATTTAGGTGTATTTCCTTCTATATTTGAAATTAATGGTGTCTTGGAATGAATTTTCGTAGATTTGTTTGTTTTAATTTTTAAACAATTTTCTGATGCAACTCGTCGAGTACTATACAATGATCATGAAAAAAGAAAAAACAAAATCCTACTGAAACTGTACATTGTGGGTACCTTACATATATTGTAAATACCTTAAAATTCGAATACTTCAATCGGTGTATGCCGCGAACAACTCATATTTTGAATTATTTACTTTGGAAGTAAGACATGTAATCTGACCAGAATATGTCTAATCTTATTAATAGACAATACATACATCTGTATTATCAAGAAGAAAAAGTAGAAAAATGTGAGTGTCTTGTGTTTTGTTCACTTCATCGTTCTAAAAAACAATTTTTGTAATAGCTGTGGTTGGGCTTAGCCCTACCATGGTTACGTCACTACTTCCATTTGATATAAAATAAATTGCTCTTCGTTCGAAAGACAGTAGGCTTCAGTGAGATCCATCTATACATTTACATCCACACTCCATACTCTTGATGTTTCTTTGCTATCACTAGTTGCTTGTCGAAAAAAAAACTAACGGGTAACTACATAGTTAGGAGTATCGAAACAAGATAAGACGCACATTTTAACTACTTTTCTTTTCCACTTGAGGTATACAAATTTCTCTTTCAACATATTGTCGACTGTTGATTGTCTTCGTTGAATAGTATTCAGCTATGAAAATGTTCGATAAGAGACAAGCAAATCTAATGGAGAAAACAATTGACGCTACTTGATAATGATATGTGTGCACGACACACATTATCAGAACATGGAGTGTTGCGAAAAATATCATAAAAATACCTGTATTTTGATAAAACAAAAAGAAGTGATATCACATCATCGACAGAAACAAGATCCAACAATAGACGGAATCTTTATGTCCTTTTGAAAATAACAACACAATGGAGAAAATTCGTGCCGCCGAGAACAACTGGGACAAAGTTATTCCGATCCCATCACATCTAAAGAAAGCAAAGTATGGATTAAACAGATACTTGCCACTACTCTTCTTCATCAGCCCCTTTCACCTCATTGGCATCGGTCTCTTTGCCTCATTCTTACTGCCGACAATCATTGTCGGTATCCTATCAATTCTCTTTCTCATCTATCCTCTCGTCAAGCAGATGCTGCGCTACTACAATTGGTTACCAACTCCTCATTCAACAGAGATCATTCGCACAACGTATACCGCACGTTGTGATGGAGATTTCGTAGTTTTTCTTATCGGTATTCGACCTAATGGAGCGAATCCTTTCACGAAATCTTTTTTTGAGCTCGGGAAAGCATTTAGAAGCATGGTAGAGGAGTTGGAATCGGATCCAACATTAGGCTATATGGGGGGCGATGTCTATGTTGGAGCAAACGAGCGTAAAAGCACAACATTGTACGTGCAATATTGGCGCGATTATGAGTCACTCCAAAAATGGACCCACAAAAAAATGGGTATTCATTTCAAAATAATGATGGAATATATGAAGACAGATCGTTTGGAGGGTGTAAATGGAATATGGCATGAAACATACAAAGTAAGAGATGGAGAATACGAAGCCGTCTATGGAAATATGCCGCCCATCGGTCTCGCTTTGGCAACATTGGCCGTGCCTGAGACAAAGACGAGTAATGGACAAGGAAGAATGCAACGGCGAAACGAGGAGAAGCAAGCACAGGCCGACATAAGCAATTGTGGCAAAAGCTAGACATATATGCTAAATGAAAAAAAAACATTCAACGAAAATATGTTGATAGAACACTTTTTTTTCCTTTTACGTAATTTATATAGCATGTCCGAAATCAATATATCTATTCCAAATGAGACTGTGCGTGTGAATGAAGAGAAGAGAGTTGAGATCTTCAGGTGACAAAATAATTGATCAAAAGAGAATCAATAATATTATGATAATTTTCATTTGATTCTTATTGAGCTCATACGAAGTTGTCGAACATATTTTAAAAAAATTTATGTAAAATGTTTTTGTTTCTAATTACATAGGATTGATGAATGAACTAATACTTCATTATAGTATATTCGTATATTTTCATCGATGGATTTTTATAGAATAGTTGATTCACATTTGACATAAGAGTATCATAATACTCGTCAGTTAGTAGATTGATAAATGTATGAAAAATAATATCGTTTCATCATTTCGATTGTCTCATGAATATGTTGCAAACGTGAATAGTTTGATGGTAGCAATATTTTTGTGAAATTTCAAATAGCTTTTTGTAAAAGAAGAATGCTTTCGAATAATTAATTTTGGTTCATATAGAGGTATTCGATGTTGTTTTAAGCAGTAGCTAAACTCGAAGAATGGAAAATAAATATTTCTTTATAGATTTTGATTGATTTTTTTGTGAAACGAAATAGCTTTTATTTAGTCTCCTTTTGTCCTCAATTAATTCTAATTGATAATAAATGTTTTTTATTTTACTATAATCATTGAATGTTCGATCGAATATTGCTAGGTAAAGGTACTCGATCATATTGATTGCACCAATTTTAATCGGAAATTTTGTCCATTCGATGCATTGCTATGGATGCATGACTCACTTAAACGTTTGATGGCTTGCTCAGAAGTAGTAATTGCCACAAAACTAATCGAATTGAGTCTTGATTACTTTGCCACACGATATCGTGGATGTGCGTTGAAAACTGAATTTGTTGTTTTGAATAAACTTTTTATTTTTTACATAATCTTTGCTCCATTATTGATTCTATTTCCCGTTTTTTCACAAAAAATCATGAATGAACGGCGCTGCCTATTGACCAAGTACGTGAGAAAATGGAATCGTCTACGAAAAGTGTAGAAGAATATTCATCCTGTCCGAGTATTATATTCTCAGTCTCACAATCGATAATATATGAGAAATCGTTGCGAATCAATAGATAATTGTTTTTTGACGTCTTCAAGAAAATAACTGATAGAAATCGAATTGTTTCGCGCTTTCAGTGAAAGTGACCGAGCTTTTCCAGAGATCATATTGATTACAAATTATGATGTTATGATGATCAAATGTCCAATGTTCGATCATATTATATGGAATTAATTTTGATCATCAGTTAAAAATGAATTTTAATCCGAAAAAAATCTATTCACTGATGAAAATATATAGTACGTTATAAGTCAAACAAAGATATTCAATTCTTTTAGTTTGAATTCCAACTGCGTAAATTTAAGATGAAAATCAAGGAAGAAAAACGTATCGAAGTCAAACAGTCAATATAAAAAGAGAGAAACACGTTATGCACGAATTTCTTAGTTAATATTAAAAAAAACCAATCATTATTTATATGAAAAAATGAAAATAGATCGATCGCTATTTTTGGCATATCAACATATTCACACTACAGATTGCACATATTGATTACTCTAGAAATTCATTTTTTATTTACATCAATTACCACTAAAATTATCGCAGATGATTTGAGATATTTATTAAATCAATTCAAGTATCGATTACATAGAATTGAATGTGGGAAAAAAAGTTATTCGTCTTTTTGTAATTTATGTGTATTCATTAATCGATCCCATATTGTTAAAAAACTTCCATAATTCATTCGTGCATGCTGATGATGATAATCATGTTGTAATGTACCAGATAATAACCATGGAAAATAATATTGTGGACTTATATATGGTAAATCATAACCACTATGAGCATTTATTGTTTGATAAACACGTATTGACATCCATAAACATAATGTAAATAAATGTTTCTCTTTAATTAGAAAAGGTCCAAGCCAAACACCAAGTTGATTTTGAAATACTGATTCTAATGGATTAGCTAAAACAGATACTAAACCAGTTGGTTGCTTAAAAATATGATGTTTTTTATGTATATATTTATATAACCAACGTGTATGAAATAAATAATGTGTCCAAAAAAATATAAAATCTTCTATTAATATATATACAGTTATGTGCCATAGAATTGTAAATAATGATGGAATTGAAGAACGAATAGAAACATGACCATTCAAATTTAATAATGGATAGACTGATGATAATGCAAAAATTAAAGATATTTGATGTTTTATTGTTTCATTTTTAATTTCACGAATCATTTCGGATTGAAAACGAAGTTTTGGTTTATGTTTTTGTATTCGATATTTTTCAATGGCAGGTATATCATTATATTCAATATATACAAGACATAAATTATATAACCAAAATATTAATTCAAATGAAATATAAATACAAATAGTAAATGTTAACCATTCTGATGAATAAAAATATTTATCACATATATGAGCGAAAAATGTTTTTTCTAACGATGAATCTTCAGGTATCGATGATATATCCATATCTTATTTATCAAAATGATCACATGTGCGTTTTAAATATGTTTGCATTTTTTTCATCGTTACAAACTGTGTTTGCCTTTGTTTTTATCTTGTTCTCTATTTACTTTATGATTTTAATAGAAGTAAATGAAATAGGATCTTATCTCTAAATTTTGACATACATTTTTGATAATGATAAACACTCTTGAGAGTAACAAAGTCCATCTTAGTCTTAAGATAATACATGAAACTATTATAATCAATGGCTATTAGAAATTTATGTTTCATAAGAAGAAGAGACTCAAAAGAATTCTCATGGTTTAAAAAATTCGAACAATAAACTGTAGATTAGTTCATGACTTTTTTTCTCGGAATAGGTCATGCCAATTTTTTCAAGTCTTATCTATCATTCATAAATAATATTCGATTATATTGACACTGATTTAACTAGAAGACTCTATCTAGTTAGCAGGTGTATTTCAAATTGCTACTGTCGTTTATACATATGATGTCTTCTATGAATTTCCTCGGAAACTCCATTAAGTCATAGTATAGGAGATATAGGAGAAATTGATCAACTGATGTAGATAATCTTTAAATAATGCTTGACTTTTAACAACGATCCATTCAGATATATTCATGCAACTTACCGATTCTTGTTCGAACAAATCAATCACAATAAGTAAGTAACTGTTTACTATATACCTACACCTCCTATATCTCTACAGATCGTAACAGCCAACCTTTTTCGTTATTGGATTTTCTTCATACTAGATGATTACCGTATGTTCCCATCTAATGTTTGTGATCATTTCACAGATTTGGTTGCGAAATATTCAAATATTATTATATTTACGCGTTATTTTGATTCAACCTCTGCTGACGTTTTTCTTTATTTCTTCATCCAATACAACATCTATAGAATTATTCAATATAATGATAAAAGCTATGTAGTTCTAAATACTTTTAGATTCCTTACATCGTCATCATGAGCAACTATTTCAGAACTAGAAAAAAAATCAATTTTAACCCGTCGAAGAACTTTGAATATGTTAAAACATATGAAACAAAAATATGTCTTGAGATCACCAAAAACGCATGGCACTATCTGTATTCAGATATTAGCAGATACGAAAGTTACGATATTGTTATAATTTAAAATAATAAAGCCAGAGAGCGCAAATCATCGCCACAAAAGAAATAAAAAAGTAGAAATTCAACGTAATATGAAAAACTAAAACAGATAATAGCGTCGTTACGATCAATGAAAAAGAAATAACGAACAGACGGATTATGTTCGATGTATGCTTAATTACAACTGACATGAAGAGACCATTAATTGCTTGTGTCACAATTACGAGCCATGTATAAACGGAGAAACCTTCAAACGGATTCAGCTGATGAAATGATTGGGAGACTAGTAGGGGTATTACCACTGCTGGAACAGAATTCAAAAGAGATCCATATATGTAGAGATAGATGTTCTGCAAATGAAGTGACTGTGTATAATATTTTTTCAAAATCCATTCATTGTAGACACCAGCCAGACCACTTAACATGCAATACAGAAGAACCATTGGAAGTCCCAATGGACGAATAAACATTCTTGTCATAGTATTCGATGGCACGGTTGCGGAGTTCGTAATGGTACCTTCAACGAAGAATGAGCATATGAATGTAATTGATATTCGAACTATTTAGAAAGAAATTTCTGAAAGTTTAGTTGAATATCTAAACTCACGCGCTATTTTTTTTTATACAATATGCTTGACTTCCAGAACACATCTTTACTGTCACTGAATCGAAATCTTTATGCAGTATTCTTGTTTTTATATCCACTCATAGTGAATTTTGCAGACTGACGTAATGAGAACTCTTATAATTTTCTTTAAAATACCACCATTTCTTCTCATCAAACTCAGAACTAGTATGTGAGATATTTCTTGGCGGCTGTAAAATAAAGACTTGATAAATACTTAATAGTAGCACTTTCAAAACATTTTAATAAGATAGTACATGTCACAATCTGGTAAGAGTGTAGTAATCTCGTAGAAACTTAAGAAGTAATTATGACGATGTCCTTTTGAATTCGGATAAAGAATCGTATTCTGATTTCTTAGGTTTCTTAGATTAAGCTACTGTGTAGAATAAACCATTCTATATTTTGAATTTCTCCATCTTATTACATTTGCAGTCGATATTTGTGCCATAATGTTGTGAGATGTATGATAGACTAAAAGCTAATACAGAGAATGCATGAAGCAAAAGTTCTTTATAGCTGAAATGCATATATTATTAGATGTTTGATGTTGTGTATAAATAAATAGTCTGAAAATTTATATTCATAACCGATGGCGTATCGAAACGAAAATGTTTAAAGAACCAAAGCAAGCATAGATGCGTGAAAGAGAACTGTAGGATTTACTTTTGTTTCATCAATGAACAAGAAGATTTCTTCGATATAAAAGCAGTTTTCAGTACCATTTCTTTCGCATTTAAATGCGAAACACGATGAAGTCGCTTCAATCACGCATGAGAACCCTTTCTATATTGATCACAATGTGAAACATCAGCATGCCCGAATGTTTCTCACGGTTTATGAAATAGTCAAAAAGTCATATTGTAACAGAAAAATATTAGGTGTTGTGGTTCAGGCTTTCATATTCATCTTAAGTTGAAATAACACATTTAAACTAAATAGTCTGGCTTTAAAAAATTGAAGAACGTTCAAGGTAACATTTCGATATGACTCCCATGCTTTTATGGTGCCGACTGGGAAGGGTTAAGGGACCTTTTCGTTCTATTCTCTAACAGTTTTCATAATCGTGTTTTACGAAAAATGAAGCAAGAGTATGATGTATATGTGTATAGATATCTACATCGTTAGCAGAAGCATAAAATATTTGACATCAAAACGCTGCTATCAATCGATAATCAACAATAGTCTTTTCTTTTTACTACATGTTTAAAATATTGTGGCAGAAAAATCGGGCAAAAATCGTGTCATAACAATTAATTAAAAATTAAGTTTTGGTCAACTAATCGATTTCAATCTGATTTTCATCTGTATTTTTCATATGAATATTATAATTATAGACCTTTTTTTTTGAAAAAACAAGCGCTACTTTATGGTTGCAAATTTTTCAGGGTTTTGTAAGACATGATAGATAATGATTATTGAAGTAAATAGCTAGAAGAGTCACATTAAGAGGTCTTTTATTCATTGTATCTTCTCACCAGAACGTGACAAACATGTCTTAAATACCAATTTAACGTCGCAGATAGTTACAGGCATTTTCGACATATATTAATCTCCTACTTCATCGCACGTTGTTTTAAATGAGATGCACATTTTCCTTGATGATTAAAACCATTTCATCGTGTTTCACATTTTAATCCTGTCGGCCTGGAACTAAAAGCTATTTCATCATCTGTTTTGATTTTTATAGACTTTCTTAAAAGTTGCCCCAAATTTGGTAACTTCTGAATTTTTATTTTCCAGAATTTTCTCTCCAAATATGCATTTCTGAATTTTGAGATCTATTATGAGATTTTCTACTCACAAAATGACATGAGCTGTAAATAAATGTCACTATTACCTTGATTAGAAATCTAAGAGTGAACAGATAATGAATGCAACTTACGTTTTTGAACATAGTCTAGTTGCACATGTGTACTCCTTGAATGAGTGGTATCGATTTGTGTGGAAAACATGGTGCGAAGATTCAAAACGAATCTTTACGATTCACGTTCTAAGACGTCTACTTCTTGTAAAAATCCCACTGAATGTGTTTATTGAGTACCAATTGAATTGAAATAGATATTCTCCTTAAAGTTTTAATCCATATATGCTGTTGATATTTAAATCCGTTGGCAGGTGGGAAATATTTCAGAATTAGCCCTGATTCTATTTACAAAGGATAAAACTTTCGACAGATGTAGAATCTTGTCACTCAATTTTATACGCAGCAAAGGAATAAGCTTAAGCATTGACCAGACGTCATATAAGCCTTTCTAATTAAAGTAAATAATAACAGCATAAGCGATCACAAGACAATCGAAAATGATACTAGTTACACATATCCGCATACGAAGAAAAATAAGAAAATAGGAAATTCTAATTCTCTGAGAAGATTGGAGACTTATGAGCATTAGAATGACAAGGAGTTTGTAACTATGCATAAATAAAAATTTTTATGACTAGCTAGTAAAAAAGCGGGATATAAACTTATTTATACTAAATAGGTAATGGCTATTGAGTACTATTGATTGATTAGAAACCAAAAATAGCTGTTTAACCATTCAAAAATATTCAATATTCGAATTAGATTGACAACAAATTTTTTTCAAGATGCTTTTATATTTTAATCTTTTGGTAGCTAGGAAAAGAAATTATTAATATTAAATTCTGATGTGTAGTCTTTTTGCTAATTAGTCTTAGCAATTGGGAATTCAGTAAGTGTTATTGATAAAGTCAACTTTCGCAGACTCAATTTTTTTCTCATAGATCCACATACTATTTTGTATCGAGGTTACAACTTTGTAACATTCTGCCGCTCATATTCTCGTTTCTTTTTTTCTTGCGTATGTAATAAGGGGATATGTAGAATATAGTAGATTCCCAAAAAAAACATGAGATATCTGGATGAAAAACAGAGCGTCTCATCGTCGAGCTTCTTATTCTCAAGATCACTAAAGTAAGTGTATCTGGCTACCAAGATCGCAATTTCTTTGATGGCTCACCATATCGAAAGGTCTTACGAAGGAATTACTAAGTCTCTAGTCATGGTAGAAATATGGATTGAAAAGCTATTAATCACTTTAAGAATTCCTATCAGTAGATTCATTCTTCTATGAGAAAATACCTAAGCTGTAGAAGAGGCCACCACAAAAAAGAAGTGTTACGGCGAACCATTGCTGTTTCGAAAGCTTTTGTTTAATGATAATTCGATAGAGAATGGCCGTCGTGACGATCTTGAAATTTGACAAAATTTGATAGGAGGCTGGATCCATGTAGAGCT